GGGATGCACTGGGGTTCCCGCGCAGCCTCAGGGGAGCTCGCAGAGTGCACAGTGCTGATGGAGAATCCCAAGGGCACCGGGATGCAGCCGCGGCCTGCCATTTTGTCGTTCTCAGCAGAAAGGCTTGGAAACTGAATTACTGCGTAAAGACAGCTTCCCTGCAGCGAGAGCTGCCGGCGACGAAGACCAGTGTCTCCCAGCACGGTGAGCGGGACACAGCGGTAAAGGAGGCTGCCCAGCCCCAGGTCCCAGGCGCTCACAGTCTGATGGGGGAGGTCAGGGTGCAGAGCTGCAGGGTGCAGGGGCGGGAGCACTAGGGAGGCCACTAGGGGGCCAGGGGTGGCCTCTGTGGAGGGACACTGGGGAGGTCGGGATGCAGAAAGCCATGGGAAGAGCACTCCGGGCACGGGAACAGCACGTGCAAAGGCCCCAAGGTGGACGCGTGCTCCGAGTGCGTGGAAAGGAGGTTCCGTGTGGCTGGAGCCAGACAGGTGGGCAGGAGGAGAGAGTGGTCAGAGAAGTGGGGACAGGGACCGTTAATAGTACCTCCTGCTGGGAGAGGGCGGGCCACAGGGCTGGGCGGAGGCTGGGCGGGAGGACCTCGCTTCACGCCTGCATGCATTCACTCATCATCACTCACTCACAATTTCACTTCATTTTTGTTTTGTTTTGTTTTGTTTTTGTTTTGAGAGGTTTTTGCTATAGGGAGTGTTGGCTAGCCAGAAAGAGAGAGAGAGACAGAAAACAAAGAAATCACCCCCCGGGGGGGATGGCCATGCCGCAATCCCTTCTCCTCCATTCTCCTCTTGGGATCTTGGGCACGCACACACACGCACTCTGCATGAATTTAAGTCACCGGGTTCTGGACTCGAACTGCAGTTGACTACATGAGAGTTCAGTGACATAACCATTATGCTAACTGCTGGTCCCTCACTTCATTTTTCAAAAACTTTTGCTAAAGGGCACATGTGTGCATGAGAGACAGAGACAGGGAGAGACGGGGAGAGAGAGGAAGCACCTCCCGGGGGAATGACCATACCTCAGTCCTTTCTCCACCATTCTCCTCTCGGGGACTTGGGCACGCACATGCATGCACCAGGTGTGTTTTCCAAGCCACCGAGTCTGGGACTCGGACTGTGCAGTAGGCCGAGGGAGATCCAGCCGCCTCACCCACCGTGCCAGCGGCTGGCCCTCGCACTGCCGTCTCCGTCTGTTACGCACTCGCTCGTTTACACGCCTCGATCCGTTTCCTTGCCTTCGCTGTCTGCCACTCACATTCCTGGGCACCCTGTCTGCCGCCACCCAGGCAAGCAGTCAGAGCCCCTGCCTGCCTGCCCTGAAAGGCCCCTAGTCTGGGGTGGGGGCAGACAAGAAAGGCCCCGGGGAGCTGAGACGATTAACCAGCCCTCAGAGGCCCCTGCAGCCCTGTACTGGCTGGGCCCTCTGTCGGCGGTGGGTGACACGCGTTGGCTGTGTGGCTGGGCCCATGGGGCCGTGTCTGTGTGGGCCGGGCCTCCAGCACTTTCTGAGGGAGTGCCAAGCCCATGGGCAGCCCCTCAGGACTCTGGGTGTCCAGAGGAAGTGATGTGGGAAGGGGCAGGGCCAGGGCTGGGCCAGACGGTAACCCACTCACCGCAGAGGGCAGCCTGGACCCCCGGGAGAGGTCGGGCAGAGGAGCCAGTCTACACAGACCCAGAGGCCAGGCTTTGCCACCCTTCATCATGCAGATGGGAATTCTGAGGCCCAAGGCCATGCAGCATGGGCTGGGCCAACCCCTAGCAGGGTCTGGCCTCCTGGACATCAGCCCCAGTGACCTCTGGGCCCCACACTTTCAACACCTAAGTTGACTTCCTACCTTCGCCAGGCCTGCCCCTCACCCGCCCTCATCTCAGGACCCCCACCCCCACCCCGGGGGCCAGCCTCGGCTTCCCATGCCCTCCCTATACCTCCATGCTTCCCATCCTGGTCCTCGAACCCCACGCTCCCTGCTCCCACCCAGTGCAGCCCCGTCCTGGCAGCCTCTTCACCTGCAGCCACCCCCTGCAGCGAGGCTCTCCCCTCTGAGCCTCTATGTAGTCCCAGGAGGTGGGCTGGCCCCTGCCCCTGCCAGCTCCCCTGCCCCCAGACTCCCCTCCAACTCTGGTCACCCTGGGCTTCCTTCCATTCTTCAGTTTATTTATTTATTTATTTAATTTATTTATTTTTTGCCTCTGAGCCCCTCACAGGCTGCTCACTGCCTGGACACTTCCCCCCCTGCCCCATCCTCCTTTGGAGTTCACCTGAGACCCACCTCTTCCAGGAAGCCTTCCCTGACCTCTCCAGACTGGGTTAAACACCTGCTCTTCACTCTCACTGCCCCTGGGCATATTCTGATCACTCTGCTGTGATTTCCTGTCTGTTCTCTGGAGCCCTCAAGTTCAAGGATGATTTTTCATCATTTGCCACTCTGTCCTCTGCACCAGCCCCATGCCTGGCATGCGGATCAGTAAATGTCTGTCCAGTGGATGGACAGATGATGGACAGCCACTGCACCTACCTCTCAGCCCCGCCCCGCACTCCCAGAGCAGGCCATTCTGTGTCCTGCGGAGCCCCTCCGTTTGAGGGCCGCCCAGGGCCGACTGACCCCGGCCCAGGCCCAGCTCTGGCCACAGCAGGGGACTGAGACAGTTGCTGGACAAAGTGGTGACATGCCCCGGGGGCAGCCATGTCCCTTGGCCTGTCTGAACTTGTTAAGTCCTGGGGAGGAGATGTTCCTGAGGGTGACAGCTGAGGGCCCCCTGTCAGCTCCCATCAGCACGAGGCTCCCTCTCCACCCTGTCCCCGTCTCATCATGCTGGTCTCCACTGAGCTGTCACCTCCTCCGAGAAGCCCCTCTGATTGCCCAGCCCTAATGAAGTTCACCTCTGCCCCTTGTCAGTTCTCTCTGGCTCCTGCCATGCTGTGCCAGCAAATTCCTCAGTTTGCTTCCTGGGCCAGTGTGTCCTCAGTTTTCTGGGGCGCCCATGAGGCCACAGGCCATCCATCCCCTGCACCACGCAGTCCTGGTGTCCATCCCAGAGCAGATCCAGAGCAGATGCCCCCACAGGAAGGGGCGGATGAAGGACCACGCGAACAAGGGAGCCCCGCACGTTGGCACCTGACTGCACCAGGCAGGGGCTGTCTCTGGCTGAGCCTCGGCTTCCCCGTCTGCAGCCACAGCGCACCCGAGCAGTTGGAATGCTCAGCTCAGGCCCTGTCCCCAGCAAGCCTCTGTGGTGGCCTCCTAGTCCTCGCTAGAGAGGCAGGACGGTGACCCATAGCGCTGCAGTGCAGACAGGCCAGGGCTGCAGCAGGGTGGGGGCTGCGTAGCCAGTCACTAAAGTCCCTCTCCCCCTCCCATGGAAGACGGCTAGTCCTTGCTTCTTGTCCTCGGAGCCCGTCTGCAGAGCAGGTGACATTTGCCCACTTGACAGAAGGGCAGCCCGAGGCCCAGGCTGGAACAGACGTGCAGTTTCGAAGCCGGCAGGGCGTCAGGACAAACCACCTCCACCAGCACTCTCACTGCCTGTGTGGGAAACTGAGGCACCCAGGGCAGGGGGGCTGCTTTCCCCAGGGCTGGTGCCCCCAACTCTGGGCTCGGCTGGACTGCAGAGCTGTCAGGAGGGATCAGCAGGGCCCTGGCCGGTCTCTCCTGATTTAATTAACGGGCCTTTCATCTCTGTCCTGGAGGAATCACTCTCTCTGTCTTCTTAATTAACGTTCATTACGCAAATCAGAACAACAGGCTTCTTCTCCCTCCTTCTCTGCCTGGCAGCTCTTAACCCTTGGTAGGTGGGCTTTGGGGAGAGGAGCCCGCTATCTTTGCTATAGACCAAGCAGGACAGTTCTGCAGGGGCTCCCTAGGGTCCCGGTGCAGGCACCTTCCCATCAGTGGCCCCTCCAACCATGCCACCTCCATGCAGGCCTCCTAGACTCCACCACCACCCATCTCCCTAAAGGAAACAGCAGCAGGCACTCTGCTGCTCTAGAGCCTTCTCTGGCGACCCGGGCACACCGCTAGGACAATGGGCAGACCTTCACCCAGACACCAAGCTCTGCCTGCTTCCCTCTGTGCCCTCTGCAGGCCAGCCCCTCCCTCCCCATCCCCCCTCCCAGCCCCTGTGCAGGGCTCCCTCAGTGTGCCCTTGCCACTACCATTCTGGGCGCCCCCAGACCCACTCCTCTCCCTTCCAGGTCAGCTCTGCCAGTGCTGGGGGCAGGTGGGGGCTCCCTGACGCCCTGAAGGGAATCTCCAGAGGCTGCTGCTTCTGGAGACCAGGCAAAAATGCTCCTGGGGAGGCGGAGGACACTCCAGCCAGGGTCAAGGCCGGGGTGGGCCTCCCGTAGGCATGGGCAGGGGAGTCCCAGGTGGGCTCAGGGCTTCCACTCTGGGACAGGGAGGCAGGGGCCCCTAGAGGTCAGCCTCAGAGCTCTAGACTGCAGGAAACAGGCCAGGGATCAGGTCCCATGCGGGAAAGGGGCCCTGGCTCAGGGGACAGATGCCCTGTTGGGGTGGTGAGTCCTGCCAGCAGGTGACACTTGGCCTTCCCTCTCTCTAAGGCAGAGTCCTGCTATGTGGCCGCCCCCTGCCCTCACCCCTGCTGTTTCAGAGCCTGGGAGGGGGCCGTCTGCCCTTGCAGCCCCTACCTGGTGCGGGTGCCAAGGCCCACAGCTCTGCTGGCCCTTCCACGCACGACAGAACGAGTCCTTTGTCGCCTGGATTTAGGGAGCTGTCCTATGGCTTCATGGACACTCACATACCTGCATGCCTAGGGGGACACTCTGCTCCCCAGACTCTCTGACCTCCCTCCTCCCCGCCCCCTCCCGGGAGGAACGGCCCCCAGGGATGAGTGACCCGGGCACACCTGGGTCGGGAGCGCGTCCTCAGCAAACCCTTCTCGGCCTGGGCCTCGGCTTCCTCACCGGTTCGGCCAGCCTCCTGGCCCAGTGACCAGCACAGTCTAGTCTTTTGGGAGGCCAAGATGCAGGGAAGTGGGGGTATCCGGCTGCAGGCCACTTGCCAGAGGGAAGGCGAGGAGCCTCCCCACTGCGCCTCGCCCCTGCTGCTCAGCGCCGTCCCTTCTGGTTGGGGCTGTCAACACGGCAGTATCTGGGACGCCAGTGCCCACCGCCGGCCACAGAGGCCTTTTCTGGACTAAGTCTGAGGACAAAGGCCGGGGTTCTTGGGACGGTGGGGCAGGAGCAGGCGTCTGTTCCTGCTAATGTGACAGGCTGGTATGAGCCCCGGCAGTTGGGGGACCTGGGTCCAGCCAGAGTTCTGCCCTCCCCTCCTGGGAGGAGTTCTTGGGGGTCCCTCCAGGCTGCACCTGGGAGTGACCCCCTCAGGGCTCCCATCAACCTGGCTGCTCCACACTGGCACTCAGGGAGGGGCTGGGGGCAGTGGGCTGAGAGCCAGGCCCTAGAGCCTGAAGCTGGTGCTGGCACCCTGGGCCGGGGGAGGGCAGCCTGGGGCCAGGGCCTTATTCTGGTCCCCACCGGGGCTGGTCCTTGCCACTAGGGGGCAAGAGGAGCAGTTTCCGAACCGTGGCCAATGTCGCCACCTGGTGGTCAACATGGTGAATGTAAACAGCTGAATAACGCAGGGAGGAGATGCAGAAATGCAGGAGGTGAAGGAAGCCTGGAGGTGATTTCTGGACTGAGGTCACTGGCCCAGGCAGGACGGTCACTTTGAGGGCTGCAGCAGGGCTGGCAAGGTCGGTGGGCACCCAGCCAGCCCAGTCCCTATAAGGTCAGCTTTTGCCAGCCACAGGGCTCCTGCTCTTGCTGCCCAGACAGGGCGTGGGGACACTGGGGTAAGGTGTACGCGGCCCCCGTGAGCTCTCAACTCCAGCCCCTGCAGACCCTGCCGAGGACAAAGCCCACTGCCGTGGTGCCTGACACCCTCTGCCTTGCTCCAGCCTCATCCCCAGACCAACTCCCTACCCAACACTGCTGCCAAAGCACAGCAGACGTCCCTACTCATTCACACCTCTGACCCTCTGCGTGCTTGTGGCCCCTGCCTGGAACGCCCTGTCCCCCGCTCGCTGTTTGCAACTCAGCTTCACGCCTCCTCTTCTGGGAAGCACCCTTCAGTTCCAGGTAGAACTCCTCCCTGCAGCTCACACACAATGCACCATCTTCTGTTAGCCCCTACCAGCTTATTCACCAATATCTATGCATATGGCACCTCTCCCTGGCTCACTGGGAGCCAAGGCAGGGCTGGGGGAGGGACACACTGAGGGACACAGCCGTAAACAATGGCCATAACTCAGTCTTAGAAAACAGTAAGAACAAGCTCTAGCACATCAGTGGGCGATTTCTGAGTGGCCCTTCCCTACCTAGGGCATTGTCTTTATCATAGTGACTACAACTGACCGGAGATGGCCTCTGTGCTCTCTGGGCCAGGCACTCAGGTATCTCCAAAAGGAAGGACTGGATACAGGGCTCAAGTGTTCAGGGTGTGGCTGGAGGGCTGCAGGGGCTGACAGCAGTGACACTGCAGAACTGACCCACCAGGGGAGCTGCCGCCACCTCTGAGGCTGCCGCCGCTACCGGTTCTAGAACTCACTGTGGTGACTCTGATCCAAGGGCCAGAAGGAAGAGTCAGAAAGTCACTGCACAAGCTGTGAGCCCCTCAGCACACACAGGCTGGAGAACAAGAAGCATGCTGATTGGCCAGGGCAGAAAACCTTCCTTCCCTGTGACCTCGCTTGCCATCAAAAAGGCAGATGACCTCTGCTCACTGCTAAGTCTCAAGCAAGGACACCTGACTGGCTTTGCACCCAATACCCTACCTGCCAACGTGGCTCGGAAGAATAGCTCTTAGTGCTGGTCTCTGCAGAACAGGGTGGCCTCTGAGAAGGATAGGACAGAGGGTGTGGTACTCACTGTCACGCGGATGGAGAGATGGGGTCTGGACCCAGGTCTGGGTGGCTCTGAATGAGATGGGGCACAAGGACTACTTCTACAAGGACTTCAGACCAGAAACTGACACCTGTTCAACCTTGGATGGATGCCATTCTGTTATAGATTCCAGCAGCCAAGGATAATTGTCCGAAAACAATTTATGCAGTCCCTCCTCATTTTTCTTTTTAAAAACCTTTATCTTCCTTTACATCCCTGAGTATGGCTGTAGTTTACTATGGCAAGCATATTCTACATTGCAATGTCTATTCCCGAGTAAATATCATTTTTCTCTTAGAAAGTCTCTCAGTCTGTTATTTAGAGATCGACATCTTGCATATTTCATGCTAAATTTACTATTAGGCAATTTATCATTTGTATTGCTGTTATGAATGGAAGCCTTTTCTTTTCTTCAATTGCCAGGAAGCACATGGACTAGCCAGAAAGAGACAGAGAGGAGGAAAAAGCACCCCAATGGGACAGTCATGCTGCAACCCCTTCTCCCTCTCTCCATCCTGTCAAGAGTCTGGGCAAGCATGCACATGTGCCTGTCTGTCTCTCGGGCCATCAGCGCTAGGATTTAAACCCTAGCCAACCACGCGGGTTCTGGTTCCCTTAACCACTAGGCTCCAGAGCCAGCCTGTTCTACTACATTTTCTAAATTGTTACTTGTATTGGTTTTTCAGAGTTTGTGATAGGTGTGTGCACTTACCAAAGAGAAAGAGAGTGGCAGAGACAGAGAAGAGAGTGAGAAAGCACTCTTCCCTCCCCGCAGAGGAGGCGGCCATGCTGCAATCCTTCTCCTTCATTCTCCTCTCCAGATTTGGGGCACACATGCACATACACCTACCGTGCTTCTGAAGTCACCAGGTCTAGGACTCAAACCGGGCGGTCAGCCATGTGGGATCCAGCCACCCAACCACCATCCCACCTGCTGGCTCCCTGGCACTGGTTTTTGTACTTTATCCTGTAGCCACATTATATTAAGCTCTTACCAATTCTAATAGTCTTTCAGTGGAATTTCTTAGGTTTTCTGAATGTAGCTCCAAATAAACATATGATGTAAGCACTTATAACTATTCATTTTCCTTGTTTTATTGCGTTCTCTAGAAATTCCAAAATCACTTTAAAAAGCAGTGGTGATATCATATACTAACTGTTCTTGCATCTAGGTCTGGAGTCTCTATTCTGCTCTGTGTCTGTTCTGTCTTCTTTTCCAGATTGCTTTAATTATGTGGGTATTTAATACCTGGCCGTTAATCACCCCACCACTATAGATCTAGTTCCTTAACATTTTCCTGATGGCGTTCTCGTTTTGCTCCTGCCTCAATGGCGTATCTCTAGCACTCCATCGCTCAATAAGACACAGGCTGAAAACCAGCACTTAGCATGTTTGGGAAGCTAACTGCTATTTCCTTAGAGACGTTCTGGAAATGGCTGCTTAATTTTATCAACTTTTTCCTGTAGCATCTACTCATATGAGCTTGGGGCTTTTCTCCTTCAATTTACTAACTTTAATGAATGAAGAATAAAAAGGGACATTTGTTTAGGGGTAGGGAACAGGGAAGGTCTCTCTGCTGTGTCTGTGAGGAGACCCGGTGCCTAATCACAAAGGTTAGAATCTCTTGCTTTGAGAGCAGAGACGTGAGTACAGGCGCACCTCCCAGGGTTAGCAGAGATGTGGGGCATGAGGGACCACCGCACACACCCGCCTGGACCCCCTTCATTGCTAGGAGGGAGGTGCCAAGAGGAGGGGCCAGGGGAAGGCCTTTCGTCTCCTTTTTTAAAAAATTGTTTGCCAGAGGGCGCATGCTCACCAGATAGGGAGGGAGAAGTGAGGAAGGGCCCCCCCGACACACTCACACACACACACACACACACACACCCGCCCCCGCCGAGAATGGTCATGGCATACATGCCTGGCATGTTTTTGAGACCGCCTGTCTCAAACTCCGACCAGGTCTTGGTCCGGGACTCACGTGCAGGGTGGGCCATGTGGAGTCCAGCGCCTTAACCACCAGGCCACCGCCGGCCCCCCAATGTCTCCTTTTATCTCAGGACTTCAAGGGCACTAGTGGCATTTTCGCTTTAGTGAGCAGCCTTTGGCAACTCACAAGAACGATAAGGAACCTTACCCAGCCCATCTTACAAATGAGGAAACAGGTTCAAAGACGGGTGACCCAGCAGAGCCGGGACGAGAAAGCAGCCCGGGCTGACTCCAAAGCCGGGCACTCCCGGGCACTTCCACCAGGTGGGGGTGAGAGCCAAGGGACGGAGCGGTCGGGCGGAGGGGTGCTGCAGCCGTCGGCCCCTCCCTCCAGCCCTCCCACCTTACCCAGCCCATCTTACAAATGAGGAAACAGGTTCAAAGACGGGTGACCCAGCAGAGCCGGGACGAGAAAGCAGCCCGGGCTGACTCCAAAGCCGGGCACTCCCGGGCACTTCCACCAGGTGGGGGTGAGAGCCAAGGGACGGAGCGGTCGGGCGGAGGGGTGCTGCAGCCGTCGGCCCCTCCCTCCAGCCCTCCCAACCCGGCGCGGGCCCGCCCCCCGGGGAAGGC